TTAGTCAATGTTTTATTACAGAAACAGGAAACCTTACTAGGACAAGAACTATTACAGTTGCACAAGTGCATGTGCACATACCCACATTTGGCATCTCTTTCCTTCAAATCACCCCAAAGGAAAACTGCTGAATTCATAAATCTGAGCCCAGTGCAGTTCAGCTCCTATCCCCAGGTCAGCTTTGTAACTGTCGGAAGTGTGAGTGCTGAGAACATTAGGAAAGGAGGAGCAGTAGGCTGAACTAATGATAGCTGGCTTTTTTCCCCTCATAATTTTCAGTATTGTTTCCTGAAAAATCATTTTTTTATGAACTTAGAAATAAAACCAAATCACCCAGAACATCTGGGACAAGGCCATGTGCTTTGTATCATTTGTCCAGAAAGTGGGACATGGAGAGATGGCATTCCCTGAACCTTCTCATCTTCTCTTTTAAACTTGTCTTCTTCAAGCATAGGAATCCCTCCGTGTGGTCTTGATTGGTTTCCTCCCAGGTTTCTTTCTTCTCCATGTGTGTGTGTGTGTGTGTGTGTGTGTGTGTGTGTGTGTGTGTGTGTGTGTGTCTGTGTGTCTGTGTGTGTCTGTGTGTGTGTCTGTGTCTGTGTGTGTGTCCATAAAAGCTAGAGAAGGCTTGGGGAGCTCTCCTAGAGCTGACGTCCTGTGATCCCATTTTAAAGTGAGGAAATCAAGGCTCAGACATGATCACACCACCTGGGCACTAGAAGGGATCTTCAGAGACAGCTAATCCATCTATTGCACCAATCCCTTAAAAGAAAGAGTTAAAGTTTGCGGTTGGTGGAACTAGAATCTGAGCCTGCTCAACTACCACCAGTATTCTTCCTAATCTACCTCTGAGCCTTCTTAGAGTCACCCTGCGGATGTATAGGAAGGAAGCTCCCAAATGGTGTCCTGAGTCCACTGCTGGGGCTGAGGATGGTCGTTGGCCTGGCTGAAGGCCTCTCCCATTAAGGAGATTGTTGGACTTTACATTCTCTAGTTTGGGAAGTGACCCTCCCAGGTGAGCTTGGCTGCACACCCCCCAGGCTGGAAGTTCTTTACAGTACCCTCTAACTCTAACTCCTCTAACTCTAACTCTAACTCTAACTCTAACTCTGGAGACTTCTGTATGTACTGCCTCTCCTAATCCCAGGTCCCTGATACTAGATGTGGGACTTGTTGGTATAGAAACAATAGAAATAAGAAATAAACCAAACATTGTAAACAAGATAGACAACACTTCACTGAAACTGTTGCTCAAGAGCACATGAGAGCCAGCACTGACCAAAGAGTTGACCAGGCTGTTCAGTGATCCAAGGAGGAGGCAAGCATTTCATTTAGATGTGCTATTCTGGGAATTTTCCATTAGTCATGGACACGGATTCAAAAGACGTCTTTCTTTTTATGCATCAACACCCTAGCCTTGTATTTTATGGGCTCTCAGGCGTGTATTGTCCCAGGGACTGCTGAGGTACCCTTGCAGCTGGCATCATTAACGTGTAGAGTACAAACATCCTGAGCCTCTAGTTGGTATAGACCTCATGACAGAGCTGAGGTACTTGAGTTGCTGCAGTGACTTGTCCTAAATCTGATGTTTCCAAACTTTCTTGAGACCAAGGTAAAGCACATTCACTTTCAAGCTGTAAGTTCTGACTGAGGTCACTCACCAGAGCCCCTTCAGTCAGGGCATCAGGGTGACAACTGTGAACCTCCCAACTGCTTCCCAGCACTTGGCTGACATTTCTGTTCTTTACAATAAAAGGGAGTGCTGTGTTACTCAACTTTAAGCAAGCTTGATAGAAAACTTTAATTACCAAACACAATTCCCTATTATTCATCATGCTTTACCTTTGATTGCTTTCAGCCACTCCACACAGCAGCTCTTTTGTCTCTCTCATAAAAACCCTTGTCTAGCTAAATGTTGAAAAAATAGCATCTTTTTTTTTCTAGCCAGCCTACACTCATCTGGGGTGAATTGATTAGAAGCACAGCTTATCATTAGTAATATAAGTTGGAAGGTCTGCTGCTCTTCAACAGAGTGCTTTTGTGGCTGCTCCTTTGCACTTTTATTTTTATATTTCTTTGACATAAACGCCAAAAATTTACCTGAAGTTGCTGGTGTAATACGGGGATGTTTCATGGAACACCTGAATTCAGGCAATTTACAAATCAGGAAATGAGTATGTAATACCTTTTAAATTTACTTAGGACACCAAGTTATTATTCATAAGTCTCTAACACTAGGTTTGAACATATGAACTACATTGAATTGATAACAAAACTGTTTTGTTTATGACTTATAGGTACACTTTGGGAACTACTTAGGTATCAATGTATATCAAGACACTTTAAAATATATAGAATAAAATTTAACTAAGTAGATGCACCTTGTGAGGTTTGTCTGTTTGTTCTACAAGTAGACAAAGGGTGGATGGATGGATACCTGTATTTAAATGGAAATTCTAGTATTGATTAGAATTCAATTCTCTTTTCATTGCCCTATACTAATTAATTGTGCCCACACAGCTCTGAATTTTGCTAAAGTATTTGAGTTTCTGCATTATTTTGTGAGTTTTAGTTTCAAAGTCATTAAACTGTGTTATTCATACAGGTTGTAGATTTCATATGAACATCTTGTTAAGGGAAGATTTCAGAGAATCTGTAACAATTCTTATTGTTTTTTCTTCTTTTAAGAATATTTATCTATAACTAATCTATAGTTTATTTCTGGAATTTCCCATATAATTTTAAGACTGAGATTCATAGGAGTTTGAAATCGTACCTCATGGCAGGGGTAGGGGTGGGGTTGCTAACATGCATAAAATCCTTGGACTAAGGAGATTAATGGGAGGGAGTCCTAGCCTGAGGATGCATTTGGTTGCCAGGGAACCCAACCAGAATTGTGATTAAATGAGCTTCTAGGAGAGGGGAAGGGGTTGATAAAGCAGTAGTCAATGATGTAATCAATCATGCCTATATAATGAAGCATCTTTAAAAAGGCCTAAGTTTTTTAATGTTCCAGATAACTGAAGGCATTGAGTTTTCTGGAAGGTGGTATGCCCACAGGGCAGGGAAGTTCTGTGTCTCTTCTCCTGGCCTGTGTATCATCTCTACCTGGCTATTCATCTGTGTGTTCTCTTGTGATGTCCTTAAAGTTTGTGATCTAGCAAACTAGTTGAATCCAAAGAGAGGGACATGAGAATCCTGATTTGAAGAGGGCAGGCCAGAAGCAAGGCCAGTACCCAGGCCTCATGATTGGCATCTGAAGCAGTTTTGTGGGACTGAGACCTCAGCTGGGGAATCTGAACATTTCCTAATAGTGACCATGTTCTTGTGCTTACATAACTACAAGGCTCAACAAACAAGGGAATCAGGATTAGAAATGTCATAAAAAGACTCTTGGGGCTAGAGAGATGGCTCAGGTTAAAAGCACTTGGTGTGCTTCCAGAGGACATGAGTTTGGTTCCCAACACCCACATGGGGTAGCTTATAACCCCCTGTTACTCCAGCTGTAGGGGATGTAGTGCCCTCTCTGGCCTCTTCAGGTATCTGCACTCTTGTGTATATACACACACCACAGAGTTAAAAATAAAATTTTATTTTAAAAGATGCTTGATTAGATAAACTTGAGCATGTCTTAACTAGAAATACCGGAACAATGAAAAGCATTAGACAGCATAGTTGCCCTATAACATGGCACCTGTATCAAAGTAATAGCATATTAGTTAGATACAGTGGTCTACACCTGTAGTATCTTTACTTGGGAAACGAAGGCAGGAGAATTGCAAGGTTGAAGCCACTGGATTCACTGGGGAGACCCTGTCTAAAAAAACAAACAAAGGTTATTTTTCCTGTTAAAATTATGAAAGTTGTGTCAACAGAGAAGAGTGTTTATTATAAAATTTACCTTTAAAAGTATTTATAAGCTGGATGCTGTGGCGCATGCCTTTAATCCCAGCACTTGGGAGGCAGAGGCAGGTGGATCTCTGTGAGTTCAAGGCCAGCCTGGTCTACATAGTGAATTCCAGGACAGCTGGTGCTATAGGGAGACTGTCTCCAAAAGACCAAAATAATAATAATAATAATAATAATAATAATCTAAAGTGTTTATTTGTGTGTCTGAGTATATGTATGTGTACCAGATGTGTGCAGGTGCCTACACAGGAAATGGAGATATAGAAGGTTATGAGTCACTTCATGTAGGTGCTGGGAACTGAACCAGGATCCTCTGCAAGCGCAACAACCATTCTTAATCGCTGAACCATCTCTCCAACCATCAAAAATTTATCCTATAAAGAGTACTTATAAGAAAAATACAAACCTATGTAAACTATAAAATATGTAAAAGGTCTCTGCTATAGACAAAGTACTAGGTGATCTAGTTATAGCCTGCAGCCTATTGTGATGGGTTTTTGGACTGGGGATGGAGCTTAGTGATAGAGCACTTTCTTGTATACATGAACCCTGGAGTTGATCTTTATCTCTACAATAGGAGGGAGGGAAGGAGAAAGTATAGTAAAGAAAGCTTATAATGATGAACATTTTTCTTTCCCATAGTATTCTTTGATAATTTACTATTACAATAATAAAACCGATAAGGAAGAAATAAAAACAAGCCAGGCATGGTGGTACATGCCTTTAATCCCAGCACCTGGAAGGCAAAAGCAGGTGGACCTCTGTGAGGCCAGCCTGGTCTATATAGTTCCAGGCCAGCTGGGGCTACACAGCTACACAGGGTTTCATTTGATGAGAACCTGCATCAAAAACCAAAAGCACAAACTAAACAAAAGAAATGAAAATAAAAGCTTTCATATGAGGAATACTTTTAAACATTTTTAATGAGTGCTTTCTACTTGCTACCTTTTGGGTTTTGTAAGTCTAAATTTTAGATTTGTGAGAGATGATCTAAACATCTTTTCTTGTCATTAAAATTTGCATTTTTCAGTATTTTTCCATCCAGATCTATGCAAGAGAGCTAAAAGTGTTTCCTCTTCTGTTTTTTTTAGGCATTGTCATTGGAGTCTTGGTTCGTGAATACAGTGAGCTCTCCAACCTGGATAAATTCTACTTTGCTTTTCCTGGAGAAATTCTAATGAGGATGCTAAAGCTCGTTATTCTGCCATTGATTATATCAAGCATGATCACAGGTACCCATATTCTCTGATTATTTAAGGAGACTGGGAGAACCTAGGTTGTTCTTTACTAATTATGGAGAAGCTGAAATGCATTAGGTGCATCAGACACACGTGCTATCACACACATGCAGAGTCCTCACTTGAAAAGTGTGTGTTTCCTTGCATTGAAATGTTGCATTCTTCTCAAAGGAGCATTGCCTCATTGTGTTGTTCTCCTTCTAGCACTGTCGACCCACAGCTTGTATCTTCATTTGTCCAGTATGTGATATCTTGTGAGGAAGATGCTCTCTTCAAACTGATCATAAGTGAATCTCTATCTAGGACACAGAAGGGACGAAATGAGTATTTGGTCAGTGAAATGTCAGCTATTGTCCTCGGGGGGAAAAATGTGGTTGTCAGTTTTGATCATGTTTTTAGTAGCCTGCTCCTTTGGTCCCCAACTTCAGCTCTCCTGCCCACTAACCTCAAGGCAGCGCCCTGAGGGTCCCTGTCCAGCTGACTCCTCACCTACTTCATCTCCTCCACTGAGTTCAGCGCTAGCTCCATATCCGCCCAGCAAATCTGCCACAGCATCAGCAGGCAAGTGCTATGGCAAAGGTTTAACTGGAGTTTGCAGCATCATATTTTAGGACAGTATTTTAAAATCTGCACTTGTGTTATGGTTCTATTTGGAAATGGTTTTTCTCTTACACAAATTGAGGTTAATTTGGTTTACAAAAAAATGTCATTTATCTGTGTCTGATATGTTGCTCTGTCATTTGGTAGTTTCTGGTACTGATCTTAATTTTGGCAGTTGGTAAGATGTGGCGTGACGTTTCTCACTAATCAGCTAGAAAGTCAAGGTATTATGTAACTATGCAATTAGAAGTCTTGACATTCCCTCTTCTAAGACTTTCTTCTCCACTACCACTGTAAAGGCCTGATCTGTGCTGAGTTCTGACACTAGGCATGGTGATCCCAGGGGTGTCAGGATTTGGTGTTTGAGCAAATGCATTGTTTGAAGAGCTGCCACGGTTGCCAAACTCCAGTCAGACCAGGGTCCCATGAGAACACCATTCCTAAGTGGTCTTGGTGTTCTTGGATTATTAGAAACCTAAAAAGAACACCCGGCTACTTTTATTTATAAATTTAATTGTTTTGAAATTCCGTTTCTTTCAAGCCTAATAGCTTGAGGGTGGGAGGTGGGAGGAATGGTGGAGCAGAAAATCATTTAATTTGTCCTATATGTTTGTTTAAATCATTGAAAGTATCGGAAAATTGGAAGATTTCACATAAATACCCAGATTTCTAGCATTTCTGAAGAAAATCAAATCCGCAAAAATACTGGACATTGTTCTCCCACACCAAAGCGTTCTAGAGTGAGGAGACAACCACTCAATTTAGAAGGAGCAGATGCATTTAAGGAAGCCCAAGTCACCACTGCTCCTCATTGTCCATATCTCATCCCTGTAGTCCTTTTCATTTCCTGCCTGGCTCTGTAGGCCTTGCAGTTATAACTCTTAGAATTTTCTCCCTATCCAAGATTCTTAAAGCATTTCTTGTAGCCCTTTAGACAAGATGAAATCTTGAGCTTCTCCCATAAGAAAAATATTCACAATTGTACATATAAATATTTTGCCTGTATCTGTACAAAGTCCATAAGCTGTGTGATGAGTAACACTATTCAATTACTCAGTTTATGGGGAAAGTAAAGAATGGGCAGCAAACTCCAAACTCATATAGTAAGCCAAGGCTTAGAGGAAAAGGTAAAAATACATGCATGGATATACTAATTCTATAATGCTAGATGTTTGGAAATATGTGTCATTCTTGGCAGTCAATAACTAGTAAGATATTTGCTGTCTGGAAGTTTTGTGTATATCTCAATCTTGAAAATAACATAGGAAAATAATTTACAGCTCTCAGCATTCCATTGATAAAGCCTGGCACCAACCCAGCAGGAGCTAGAGAGAGAGAAAGCACTCCTCAAAGTAGTGCCATGAGAGGTCAAAGAGTCTAGGGACCATAAACAAAATTGGGGGTGGGAGGATGATACCATGTTCATGGGGTTTTTTTGGTCTTTTTGAGACAGGGTCTCCCTGTAGCTCTAGCTGTCCTGGATTCACCATGGAGACCGGCTGGCCTCGAACTCACAGAGATCCGCCTGCCTCTGCCTCCCGAGTGCTGGGATTAAAGGCATGCGCCACCACGCCCGGCCCATGTTTGTTTTTTAAATTGTCAGATTAATGGTTAAAGTGTTGACAGAGATGAGGGAAATACATTCATTCATACCTTTCAGTGACTTTATAAATTTGAACAAAGCATTCTGGAAGGCAGTTGGAATATGTCCTGATATTTCCATCTAGCAATCCATAACAGAATTTATCATAAAGAAGCATATTTATAGGCAGAGACATATTCTAAGACATGCGTATAGAATTTTCATGACAGTGCTTTCATAATGGTGATAAGCACTGTAAATGTAGTTACACAGCTAAGTTAAGACGACTCTGCAGTTATGGAAGACCTGCTTGGATACGTACTGAATGGCAGCCGAGAATGTTCTCAGTACAGCATAGAGCAAAAGGAGGAAACAAATCACACCATCCAGATTTATTAGAATGTATATGCATGTTTAAAGGTTGGCTCAAGAGGCTGGAGTGATGACTCAATGCTTAAGCGCCCTGGCTGCTCTTGCAGAGGACCTGAATTCGATTCCCAGCACCCACATGGCAATTAACAACCGTCTGTAACTCCAGTTCCAGGGGATCTGATGCTCTCTTCTGACCTCTGCAGGCATTGCATGACACAGATGCACTAACATACACAGAGGCAATACATTGATACACATAAAAAATAAAGATAATAAATAATTTTTAAAAGGTGGCTCAAAACTGAAAGGTTGACAATCTTCTAATCCAAATAGAAAGAAAATGTGTCTTATTGTGCTTTCTTTATGTTTTCAAGGTGTGCATGTGTTATTTTTGTTCATGTGCCTGTCTTGTTTTATATTTTCTTTTTCCTTTTGTTTGTCCTCTTGTGACTTCACACTTTGCCTTTGGTATTCCCCTGTTTGCCTCTTTCCAACTCTGCTACCTGTCCCTGCCAGCTCAGTACCACCCTTACCTTGGCATGCTGTTCCTTCACCTAAAGTCTGCGCTCATCTTCGACCTTCTCACCTAGATGATGGCTGTGGAAAATATAAGATTACTGCTTGCCAGCAAAATTCTTCACCAGTAGCTTGGTCCATGCATTTGTGGAAGCTGGGAGGGTTGAGTGAGTTTCCTAGAAATGTGTGAAGTAGAGACAGAAGTTCAGCTACAAATCAGACCTGACTAATAACCTGAGCTGCTTCCTGCATAGCTTTTGCCAAATTAGCAGGAAAAACCAAAAAACAAAGCAAATCCAAAACCAATCTACCATCAAATCCCCTGATGACACAAAAATGCTTATTTTATGGTTGTATTTCTTTTTAACCTCAAGTATCCTTTATGTGACATGCAGTTAGGAAATCATGTTAATCAGGGAAACTTGAATTTAGACTTGATGTAAAACAGTATTGAGTGGTTATTAATCATTTTGTTAGAGGTGAAAATGGTATATGACTGTGTAAACAAAATACCCTTATTTTTAAATGCATATGGAGAGATAGATGAAATGACATATCTCAAATTTGCTTTAGAATATGAAGGAGGGTGGCACAGTATAATCAAGGTATTTTCAGAGATAGGGAGTCACGAAAAGCCAGAATTCTTACCTTGACTTACATCCTGAAGGAAGCTCACCTTCCTACCATGGCGAGGAAGGTTTTCTACCTTTTGGTTCCTAAGCTATGTGTATATCAAACCACCAGAGAAGTGGTGCAGAAAATGACTGCGGAAGCCCTGGAACAGGTCTCCACAGACCATGAGTTTAAATCTGGGTCACATTTTCTTCAATACATTAGGTCTGATAGCTGGAGTCTCTCAGCACCAACACAAGAACAGATCAACCGTTGCCAACCCTGTGCATCTTTTCTGAGTGATCTCAGCCACTCAGACCTGGCTGTGCACCAGTGAGCACAGCTGTGCCTCCTGATGTCTGTTGTGGCTGCCTCTGCACTCGGATGCTGACAAGGCGCCCCTTCACTCCCTCATCCTAAGTAGGAACAAGAGCTCAGCTCTCCATAGTATGGGTGACAACCCAGCATTGCCAAGGACTTGGGAGTAACTGGAAGTACTGAGACAATAGTGGTGACATCCAGCCGCTTCCACAAAGGTCTCTTCTAGGCCCAATCTTCTCTACAGGGACTCCCTTCTGGCTATTGTCAACCTGCCTCCAGGATGGCAGGGAAACTTATGCCAACACAAGAAAATGTTTCAACACTGCTGCACCTCCAGCCTAGCTCCTGCCTCGGATTCTAAGAAGGAAAGGCTTCACCACCACGCAGTCTTCCTGTCTCAGGTGTGTCCCAGATGTGTCCTCTTCCTGTAATACATGTCACTGGGGAATAGCCACTTCAGAGAAAGCCTCCTTTGCAGCCATGAGGGCGTGGTTTTTGCTTTGACTCTCATCAAAGGACATAACTCAAACCCACCAGCCTATAAACACTGGGGAAGGCCTAGGTCAGGGTGGGTCAGATAGGTGGTTGCTTCCATGCACATTTCCTCCTACCTGCAAGGAGAAGTGCATGCCTAACCATTTCCTGCAAATGCCTGTGGCATACAACAGCACATGTGGCAACTCAAGACTCATCCCTGGTTTATGACTCAGGCCATTCTGAGTTTACACCAAGCCAAGAAAACTTACTCTTTTCCTTCCATAGCCTTTCCAGGCTACTGTGTGTGAATCCCAGGGCTGAATCTGTGTCCTAAGCAAGTGATGTCACCAAACATGAGAAGTCAGTAAAAACTATCTTCCATTGGTCACCAACTTAGCAGCCCCTTAATAGCACTGGTTGAATGACTGCATAAACATCTGTGAGGAGCGTCTCCAAAAATACTTCAGCTTTGCCTTTGGAAGATTTAAAAAACCATTGCTGTAGATTTTATGGT